AAGCTAGAGAAAACATAATACTTTTTTCTTGCTTGAGGGAGAATAACTTGCTGATTTGGCAATAGAGCAACTAATAGTTTACTTTCGTCTAGCCCTGACTGAAATGAAAAAATAAAACTAAATTGAACTTTTCAATACTTCAAAAGCTTTTTCACCTAGTATCAGGGGTGGGGTTCTACAGGTTCGCACCTATTTGCTAGAACCGGTTGTTAACATTCTAAGCAGTTCAGAGAACTGGTTGTTAGAAGAAATTACTGGCCTAATCCTGTAAGGAAGGCAGGAAGGAAACATTCTGGTGTTGCTTACAGAAACTGCCTCTCCGTTAACCCTTATTACATTCTTGGCAGGACTAGACTTCCTGTCTCAGGAACTTCTCTGCAGGTTTTTTTCCCTCCTTTGCTTGTGTGGAGTGACCATTCAAATTTACAATGGCACTGGAAAAAGTGACATGACCATTTTTCACACTTATGACTGTTGCAGCATCCCCACAGTCATGAGAGGCCAGGCGAGGAGATGTGTACCTTGATGTGAGTGATATTGAGTTGGCCACACCCAGCCAATAACATGACCACCAAGCCATGTCCACCCAGTCACATGACCACCAAGCCACACCCACCACCTAAGCCATGTCCACAAAACCAGTTGTTAAAAATTTTGAATCCCATCCCTGCCTAGTATCTATATATTTATAATATGAATTTGAATCAAATATTTGGATTTGAATCAAATATTTACTAACTTGAGATCAAAAACTGAAATTTTGTGCCATATAGGTTTATATTCCATTCAGCATAAAACTTAGTCTCAGTGTTAAAGATTCTACAGGCAGTACTACATTCTGCATTTGTCAGAATAATTTGCAGTTCTTAAATGGAAAGTACAGTGTTTCTCACAAAATAAGGCTGGGCCTTATTTTTTTTTTTGGCCCCCGAAAAAATGGCTAGGCTGTCTTTTTGGGGGTGACTTAATTTTTTCGCCCCCTTGCATCCTCGGGTGGGCGGGCAGCAACAGCTTGGATGTTGACCTCGGCGTTGGTGGGGCACTTCGTATCAGGAGACCTTCCGCCACTGTTGCTTTCCCTTCTCCCTTGCTGCCGCGGCGTTTAGAGCAACACCATGGCGTTTGGCGCAGCCACGTGCGGCCAGCCAGGGCTCCTCCCTGCAACCGGAGCCCAGTGGAGACATGCGGCTTCAGGCCCTCCTGTCGCTGCCTTCCCTTTGCCTTCGAAGGTAAAGCCAATTCTTTTAAAAACAACACCCTACTACAACAAAGCCTCCCCTGCCCGAGAGGACAGCCCAACCCCACATGGGGAGGCGAATCTCCCCAGGCTGCAGCGCAGGATTGGTCCACCCCAGGAGAAGCACCCAGCCGTCATCCCTGCCTGGCGCCGGGCAGAGCGCGAAGAGCTTCTCCTGGGGCGCCCAGTGCAGCTGACAGGCGGGCCCTCCTGCCCGGCGGCAGAGCTCTCGCCAAGGCAGCGAGCGTCTCCCCGCTGGGCCCTCCACTCATCCCACAAGGGCCACGCTGGAGCTGTGTGGGCTGGGCAGAGCTGGGAAAGTGAGCCGCAGGTGCGCGCCCACCTGCCAAGCGAAAGAGCTGGGCCGACCCAAGCTTGGCTTCCTTCCTAAATCCCTCCAGTCCGAACCCGAAGGGGCCACCAGGTGAGGCTGCCCGAGGCAGTGATAATGCCCACCCATCCGTGGACAGGGAGGCAAGGCGACGGCCTACGCCGCGTCCTCCGAGCTGAGCCCCACCAAGTCAGCGCCTCTGCCTGATGCCCGTTCCACTGCAGCGTTTGGAGCTGCTGGCGCATTTGGAGATGCATGGGGACGAGGGCAGGCTGGGTGAGGGGTGGAAAGGACAGGCGGCTTCGGGCTCTTTCCGCCGACCAGGGAAGCAGCGCTGCCATCACCTCGCCTCCCTGTCCGCGGGGAGGCGCTCGCCAAGCTCTCTCCGCTGGCCAGGGAAGCAGCGCTGCCATCACCTTGCCTCCCTCTCCGCGGGGAGGCGCTCGCTGCCTTGGTGAGAGCTCTGCTGCCTTGGTGAGAGCTCTGCCACCGGGCAGGAGGGCCCGCCTGTCAGCTGCGCTGGGCACCCCCAGAAGCTCTTCGTGCTCTGCCCGGCGCCAGGCAGGGATGGTGGCTGGGCGCTTCTCCGAAGGTTGGCCGATCCTGCGCTGCAGCCCCGGGAGATTCGCCTCCCCACGTAGGGTTGGGCTGCCCTCTCAGGCAGGGGAGTCTTTGTCATACCAGTAGTAGGGCGTCGTTTTTAAAAGAATTGGCTTTGCCTTCGAAGGCAAAGGGAAGGCAGCGACAGGAGCGCCTGAAGCCAAGTGTCTCTGCAGGGCTCCGGTTGCAGGGAGGAGCCCTGGCTGGCTGTGCATGGCTGCGCCAAATGCCGCGGCGTTGCTCTAAACGCCGCGGCAGCACGGGGAGAAGGTAAAGCAATGGTGGCGGAAGGTCTCCCGATACGAAGTGCCCCACCAACGCAGGCAGTACCATATCCGGGTATGCAACAAAAGTACTTCCTAACAGCAAGCCCCCCCACCATTCCCCCCATTTTGCATGTTTAATATAGGCCTTAATTTGGGGGAGGGGCTTAATTTGATTTTATGCCAATAAAACTTGCTGGGCCTTCCTATTGGTGGAGGCCGTATTGTTGGAGAAACACGGTAAATAAAAATAATGAGTTTTCTATCTCCGCAGATAGTTCAGTAGGCCCTGCTATTAAACAGAAAGGGATCAAATCTTGCCTTCTCTTTTCAACATGGAAAAAGACAAAAAGCTTTATGAGCTGGATGTTGTTAATCAATTAACTGTCATAGGATCATATCAATTTTAATAGTTTCTAATATCCTTTTTTCAAGAAATTAATAATCTTCTACAAAAAGGATCTCTTATTTACCCGTAGGTTGGTTGATCGAGCATAAAAATTCAAAATCTCTTAAAGTTGTAGTAAAATTATAATAATCTTGACTACCAGATACGAAACATTTCTAAAGTGAGTGTTCCAGGAACGATTTTATTCTTTAATATTGATTATATTTTTAAATAAATTGACTGCATCACTAAGGATAAAGCTGTTTATTTAGCTATATTTCTTTCTCTCTCCAAAATAAATCAGTGATATTAAATCTAGGAAAACCAAAAATGGTTTCTAGTACAAATGATTAACCTTAGAGTATTATAGCCTATATATTGCAATTTTAAAGTTCGTAGTGCCTTGTGCTTATCCATATTGTTTTTATCAGTTATGCCTGTTTTTTTAAGCATAAATTTATTTACTATAGTCTGTCTAGTATATTTTACCATATGGTATTATTAATGTCAAATTTTCAAAAAACCCAATTTCATCAGTCAGATTTTTAAATTACATATCTTAATTTAAATCCCAGCTAAATTTCTAGACATCAAAATTAACTACTGTAGATTGCATAATGATCTAACATATATTTTCTTAATTTGGCATTTTCTATGTTTTCGCAAACAAAAATTCATGATAGTTAAAAATCATGTCAGCTAAACTTGTAGCCTAACAATTTAGAAGAAGTTGATTTGAGGCAGTTTTCCTAAAATATCTTATATTCTTTTTCATGTTTTAACATTTTATATTTTGAAGCACTTACGTGGTTGTCCTGCATCTTCTTGGAAAACCTGTACCATATTGAACACATCTTCAGTGAAATGTTTTGTAGCAAGTTCTAAAACAAAGTTTATTATAACTATTTAGTTAAGTTATTTGTCAAATATATATAATTTGTTAAAAATATAAAAAATACTTTTTTCTATAACTCTGATTAAAACTTCCAAGTACATTTGATTATATTAAATTTTCTATTTATGTGCTGACAGGAATCTAATAACTGAGCAAATGATTCTCAGATGTTCTTGATAAAAGATACCGTGAAGAGAATTCTGTTATTCTAACAATTCATGTTAGAAATACCAGAAAATCAAAGTCTCTATTGAAATATTTCTTAGTACTGGAAACTTTTTGTTTTATTCTAGGAACTTCTAGGAAAAGGAACAAACAAATTTTGTTGTAGGAATTTCAGTTATACAATAGGGTTATCACTTCTGAACTTTTGCAATAAAGAATACTCTGCATAGGTAGTTGTTTACATAATGTTCTGACATATCAAGGAGGACAAATTCTATCTTTCTCTGGTACTGCGGTGACATTGAAGGTGACATTGAAAGTGTTCAGTTAACGCAACTGTACTTCATTCACTGCCAGCAGAAGTAACTAGTTTTAAGTAGCGTTCTAACTTCCAAAATCATTTACATATGACTTTTTATAATATGAAAGTTCAATTCTCTGGAAGATACTAAAAATATTTGTAGTCTCTGGAACACCATAGAGATCCCCACCCTCAACTATTTTATTCATCTACATGTAGATATTATTGCCTCTTCATCATCTCTTTGCATCTTAATTCTGTATAGTTTGTTCTCTGTGTCCGCAGAGGCAGTTCAGATGTCAAAAAGTGGCTGAAAGGTTTTTTCCATCCAGCCACAGCATGATGAGGGAAAGTCTGTTTGTGAAATAACATGGCAAAGCAGGAAGTATGCATTTTGAAATCTGAGCTGGCTCTGACCACACAAACAATGCAGAGTTAAGAGGTAAAGACAGGGGTGGGATTCTACCAGTTCGCACCTATTCGCTAGAACCGGTTGTTAACATTCTAAGCCAGGGGTGGGCAAACTTTTTGGCTCAGGGGCCTCATTGACTTAAAATTTGACAGACGGGCCGGGTCAGCACAAGATACCATACATATAAAAAACTGCAAAATCTCCACAAAATCAAGTCACTGCGCCTAATGCGCCACCTGCTGTCAAAATGCCTGTCATTACAAGTCAAAATCAAATGAATGCAATCATTCAATCATTTACATCAAACCTTAATTCTGTACCAATCTTCGGCGGGCCGGATTAAAAAGACCAGCGGGCCGGATGTGGCCCGCGGGCCGTAGTTTGCCCACCCCTGTTCTAAGCAGTTCGAAGAACCGGTTGTTAGAAGAAATTATTGGCCTAATCCTGTAAGGAAGGCAGGAAGGAAACATTCCGGTGTTGCTTACAGAAACTGCCTCTCCATTAACCCTTATTACATTCTTGGCAGGACTAGACTTCCTGTCTCTGGAACTTCTCTGGAGTTTTTTTTCCTTCCTTTGCTTGTACTTTGCTTGTGTGGAGTGACCATTCAAAGTTACAATGGCACTGAAAAAAGTGACTTATGACCATTTTTCACACTTATAGCTGTTGCAGCATCCCGTCATGAGAGGCCAGGTGAGGAGATGCGTGCCTCGATGTGAGTGATATTGAATTGGCCACACCCAGCCAATAACGTGACTATGAAGCCATGCCCACCAACTAAGCCATGCCCACAGAACCGGTTGTTAAAAAAATTGAATCCCACCCCTGGGTATAGAAGTGATGTAAAAGGAGGGAGAAGAGCTCCTTTGCTCAGAATTACAGCAACAAAGGTTTCAAAACATGTCCTGATGTTTAAAAAAAGGAATATTGGTTTATTTAATATAGCATTGTTGTTAAATATAGATGGGGAAATTTATAATTATTTGTATACCCATTATGTAAGGGGAAAGGAATGCACATTAGATTTTTTTATGTATTTTTCAGCCTTCAACCAGGGTGGATTTTTTTCTAATGTTTAATATTAGCTGTATTCGATACTTAGGGTTTTTTTTCTTTTTCTTTTTTTTGTATACATATTTTGTTGTTGTTATTAGTGTTGTGTGATTGTTAGTTTTTTCCTTTTCTTTGTTTTGTATTTTATCTTTGATAATAAAAGAATAAATAAACATGTTTTTTAAAAAGAGAAAAAAGACATTTCTGGAATTCTCAAGACAGGCCTGGTCTCCTTCCTTGCCTCCACCTCCTCAGCTCTGCAGATCTTCATAAGGTAAGAGAGCATTGTGAAGGCTGGAGGAGAACTTGGGGGAGGGAGGCAAAGCAGACCCAGTGCTCTTGGAGACTTGGCATGGCAGGATTTGGGGAGGTGGAGAATAGATAGGTGGATGTGCTGAAGCATCCCTGTGGTTGGTCATAAGGGCAATTGACAGTGGGGAGTTCTGTACAATTCCTAACTTTGAAACAGGGTCATATATAGTGGGGGGGGGGGGGCTGTTATAATTTTGAACAGTCATTAAATGAACTGGGGAACCTGAGGATTACATATATAAGATTCAAATGCATCATAATAAAACATATTTTCTTACAAATTATCCATTATTTTCCCAGCCTCTAGTCTACTCAGTCAGTTCTGCCTATCCAACTTTACTATCCAGCATTTTTACTTTTGTCCACATTAGTCAAACTCATTTTTCAAAATTATTTTTTGAGGCCTTGATGTCCATAATAAATCAGAATTATTACCTTCAATTATATTTTTTGGATCTTTTGGAGTGGGAGGTGTTGGGCTTACTGCTTTTTTCTTTTCCCTGTCAAAATGTACATTATTGGTAGTATTAAATCTAGATTTACAAATTCAATGTTCATTTAGCAAAGTTCTACACATAATTTTTACATGTCACAGTTTATTTATGTTAAAAATACAAAATCCTACTTTGTTAATATAACACATTAAGTAATATAATAAATATAATATAATAATAATATAATATAATATAATAAATATAATATAATATAATATAATATAATATAATATAATATAATATAA